AGGCTTTCTTCCTCCTGCCCTGGCAGGCCGCTAGGACACTCCAGGCCAGCCAGACCTGCGCCTCCTCAAGGTCCCACCTCTGGCTGGGGTGTCCAGCTGAGCACAGCAAGGGGTCTGGGGGGGCAGGGAGGGGCGCCCAACCCCACCTCACTGCACACTGGGGAGCGAGGAGCTGGGGGCCTGGGGGGCCTGGGGCGGTCACCTTGGGGCACCCATGGGGTCACTGGTGCCCAGGTCTTAGAGCTGGCGGTGGGAGCCCCCAACCCCAGACCCTTCCGGCCTCTGTGTTCCTTCACTCCACCCATCAGCTCACGCCCGAGAGGTGCCCGCACCGGGACGCAGTGGGAAAGACACTGAGGGGCACCGAGCGGCGCCCAGGGACACAGCGCTGTGCAGGCCTAACACGCACACGTGCGGGGCCCGGCAGTGCCAGGCAGGGTGGCAGTGGGCCGGCACCGGCAGGTCCCTGCTATTGTGTGCCAAGCGCTGTTCGGGGAGCTTTACCTATGGGGGGGCTTCGGAGGTTAAGGCATGACCTTATTTGGGTGCAAAGAAAGTTGAAGTCCACGCTTAGCTTTCTCACCACGCGTATCTGCCGTGCACTTTCCGGAGACCCCGCATATGCAGAGCTGTCACCGACCCCGTCACCACCCTACCCGCTTCAGAGGTGCTGCGCCGGCCGCCAGGACGGGCCCGTCGCCCAGGCCTGGGCCAGGCCAGGCTTATACACAGCCAGCCCGGCTCAGAGCCCTTGTGTCAGCCAGTGTGTCCAGTGGCCTCTCTCCAACTGTACGCATGCGCGCACACGCGTGCACAGACACGCACGCCACATATGCACGTGTGCACACACAGAGCCTGACACCAGACACTGGGCTCGCCAAGGAAACTAAGGGCCCAGAGACCTTCTCGCCATCGATTCCAGGGGCGCCAGGCAATCCGAGCTCTCCCTGGAAGGGGAAGGGAGGAAACGGCAGTTAGGCCTTGCTCAGTTAAACCCCGAGAGGGGTGTGCAGCCCAGCGGATGAGACCAGCTGTCTCCCTGACCATGCACCCTGTCTCTGGGTCCTGCAGCTAGCCCAGGAAGACACCCACCACCTCGTGGGCCCCCTGCTGTGGTCCAGGGCTGTGAAGCTGGATCTGGACGCCGAGGCTCAGGGGGCAGGTGGCCCAATGCAGGCTGCAGGGTCCAGGGGTGGCAGTGCAGCGACAGTGCCTGCTGTTCTCACTGTCTTGGGGACAAGTGGGCGGAGTGTGTGCAGGGATTGGCCACACGACGACCCTACGCACCGAGGGCTGTCGGCCGCCCGGGGGGGCGC